ATAAATAAATTCCTAACGTGGATGAGAAGAAAATTGATGTTGGCGGGAAGTGCAGTGGTTCATATGGTTGTGCAGTAATCTTGTGCAGTAAATACAGTATGAAGTGCAGTATTTTTAATTGAGCGAAAATAATGCAAAATGCGCATTTTTTAAATAAGGGTATTATGGTCATTACACAATTTAACATGAACGAATTTTGCTTTTTATTTTCGTTTTTGAGTCATACGAATGTCTAAAAACATAACTAGTCATACTTAGAGAAACTCAATATGTTTTAGTCATATCCCGGAAATTCTCCCAATTTTAAACTAAAATTTTGTGAATATAATCTACATTTGATGAGAAACATATGCACAAGTTTTCATTTAAAAAAAACTACATGGAAGCAGAATAGTTTGATATGATTATTTGATTAGTTTATTAATTGATTTCATTCCTAGTTGATTGTTCCATTGTTTGATTTCTTATTTGTTGATTGTATCTATTGAGTGTTGGTGTTATTGTTTGTTGATCTTGTCAGACAAAATTTTTCAAATATAGTTAAATTTATAAATTATTTAATTTCATGGTGTAATAACAATAATTGAATCTGGATAAGATAAAGAAAAAAAGAGGAGAAGATTAGATAAAGCGACGCTTGGTAAAAAAAGATTCAATGAAGAACTTTGGTTGTGTAATGAAGTCAAAGTCTTAATTTCCTCATCAAGTTGAACACTTAGAGAGGATGAATGATTTAGTTATAAAATACATAAATAAGACCACCATTGTTTCCTTCCTAAACAAAGATCGCCAATACTCTATAATATTATTGGTTAGATAGAAAAGGGTTTTTACATTTTTTATAAATGTCTTGAATTAATAATAATAATAATAATAATAATAATAATAATAATAATAATAATAATCATAGAACCCAAAATGATCTAGTTTAATCACCGAAATTGTCATCCATCAACAATTCCTTACTACACCACCCCATTCACATTTCATTACTTTCATTTCATTTCACTTATCATACACATATATCTTCCTCCATTCTTTAATTCTTGCAACACTGTGATTCTTACACTATCCACAGACCTTACTTTGACCATAAATTTCTACTAATATACATAAGCAAATTATTACGTATAAAATATTATTGAATTCTTATCAATGTGAATTTCCAAAATATCAACTTTTTATAATGTTTATTAATACATAATTAAATATAACTACAGTCAAAGTTGTGCATTAACAAACGTGAAAGTATTAAATATAAGTATATAACTACATAATTAAATATCCGTTGCAAGAATTAAAGAACAGATGATTCAATTTTGATTATTTCGTGGTTATATTATTTAGTTATTTCGGATAGTGGTTCAACTATATAGTATATACGGAGTATTTCCTTTTTGTATTTTTTTAGTCTTGCACTGTTTTGTTTGCTTGGAGTGCTTGCGGTTGGTTGCATTTTGAGCTTTGAAACGAGTTCAATGATCATATGCCTCCTCTTCATGCAATAATGCGTATAATAAGCCTTTCTGCCTTTGATTTCATAGGTACATTATTTGCTTCTATCGTGGAGGCGGGCAATTTAATTGTCTTCTATTATAAGGGAATATGCAAGCCAATATGGGCACACTGAACAACGTACTTACTCCTCAGATGGACATCTTAACTTTTCTCAGTCAATCTAGGGTGGGCACATCGGTTATTGGTTGATTTTTATGGATTTCGGTTCGGTTTGGAACATGTTGGGAGAATTAGTACTAAACAAAAATCATACTATTTATCGGTTTTGCTCGATTTAGTTCGGTTTGGATTTGTTATTTTTTAATAATATATGAAGGTTTTATTGAATTTCTTTAGTTCCGTTTGGTTTTGTTTGGTTTTTATCGGTTTCGATTCGGTTTAGTATCGAACTCAAACCAAATTGCATATGGTTCGGTTTCAATTATGTTTAGTTCGGTTTGATACGATTCGATTCTGCTAAATCAAACCAATATGCTCACCGTACCCTAGATCAATCCATCTCTCAATGCACCTGAAAGCCTCATTGAGACTTCTAATAACACCCTAGTGTTATGCTCATTCACCATACCCGCCCATGCCCACTAGTGAGCATCACTTCCCTCTATCCAATATGACATATATGGATATCTTTGTGGCTGGGTTTATGAGTAATCAAAATGGATCGGATGACTTGGAGGAGAAGGACGTGAAGTTTGAAGCATACCTCTTTGACCTTAGCTTGTTAAAGACTCACTCACTCATCTTCGATCTCAAGCCTCCAATTCAAATCTCATGATTACTCATCTCATTGCCTCGAGAGCTTAAGGGAGAGCTTCCACAATAGAGATTCAAGGAGGAGATCAGGGAGGCCGAACTTCTAGATACTTGTTCATCATCTTCATATGATGATGAACATGTTGGTTTGACCATGTTGTGAGTTTTACTTGAGGAAGTGACAACATGGTTTAGACTTTAGAGGGTCTTTAGAAGAAAGTTGTCAAATTACCAAGACTTTGAGACCGTTTTTAGATCTCGATGGAAGAGTCCCTTTAAGAAGACATACTTGAAGCAATCATCATTACTCGACCACTTGAGGAGCCGTTAGAGCATCGACAATGCCAATATCATTTGACCCCCTACTCTCTCTTTCACATCATTTTCCTCCAAAAACTTAATACCCTCCAACCTATCCCATTTTCTTCCCACTATGATGACCTAGATCACTTAAAATTTTACATATTGTTCATTGGTGTTTATGTATAGAGGAAAAAAATCTAATTTTGTGATATAATTTTTTTATTATCACAAATTAAATTTAATGCATAATAAATGAAATTAGGGAGTTGAAGATAGTTGATGGGATTGATTAAAGTAAAATGTCATTTGGATTTTTCTAATTCGTTGGTCACAAAGCACATGTCAGTTGTGACCTTCCCTTTTGAATTTTGATCCTTTGCTTTGTGATATGCCATAGTGGGGATCAAGTGGGGTTAACTTTTTTTTATTCACATTGATCCTCCCATAGTGGGTGCCCTTAGAACTTATTATTGATCATCATATAGAGTACGTGTATATGAATATCTTCACTACAATAAAGTAAACTAAGGGTCTCTAAGAGCTTACTTCTTTGCCCCCTTGGTAATAAGCCTTAAAAGTCCGATTTGATTACAACCAGCCTTTTCTCGATTACTAAGTTGTTTTAGTTGAATATTTGTAAGTTTAAGTTAATTTAAACTGTTAATTTTTCATTTTATGGGTGTAAAAGGCTTTGAGTAGCACCTCATGTATAAAACCATTTACGGCCTGTTTGGATGAAGCGTTGACGAGTGTTAATAATGGAAGTGTTAGTAAGTGTTTATAAGAGTCCGGAAAGGAAGGTAAGCGTAAGTGTTGATTATAAATTAACCTTGTTTGGAAGAGCTAAAAAAATATAGTGTTAGTAAAAGAAGTGTTATCCAATCAATTTACAAAAATGTCCTTACACTTTGAAATTACACATCTAAAATTTGTAATTAATATAAAACATGAAATACTTGCATTTGGACGATATATATATACACGAAGTATATACGAAGTATATACGTATAATTTCAAACAACAAAGATGACAATCAGTTTGAGTATGAATAATTGAAATACAAGCATCGTCCATCACATTCTCCTTTGAGTATGAAGAATTGAAGTAACCTTCTTCCGGCAACTCTAATTTCTACCCATTCTTCAAATTCTGAAGCTCTTCCCTCAACTCTTTGACGTTACCCGCCGGCAATCTCATTCTTCCGGCAACTCCAATTCCAGCTCTTTCAAGAAGACGCTGATGGATTTGTGTGCCGTCGCTGCCAGGGGAAACATCGAGGATTGAGCATTAGTAGTAGATGAGGTGAGATAAGAGTACTACCCTGGAAGAAGGATGAGAGATTCGGACAGGCACACATATAGAGCCCGTTTGGAGAACTCTCTTTTCGGCTTATCAGGCTTATCAGGCAGCTTTTTCACCAAACACGTAACTTTTACTTTGGCGCGCTGAATTGTGTAATAAGCCGAAAAAGTAAGGTTGCAGTTACTTTTCTGGCTGTATTGGCTGAAGTTACTGTAGAGGACCATTTTAGCTATTTTTACATATAATTTTTTCTTTAATTTATTAATAAAATATATTTTTGTGCAGTTACTCCAGCCAGAATATCATAAATTTCAGCAGAATCAGCCAAAACAGCCGATTTTGGTGCTACCAAACGGGCTCATAATCATACGAGATGGTTGTTTGCGGAAGAAGGGTAGTATTTGTCGACACTTCAAAACACTCTAAATCGGAGTGTTAAAATAATGGACATTTGAGGTGTTAGGAAGGTAATTAGCAACGTTTTCTAACACTTATTAAGCTAACACTTGATAATTTTTCTTCCAAACAAATGTTAGTGTTAACACTTCCCAACACTTTCATTACTAACACTCATAACACTTAATCCAAACAGGCCATTAGATGCCTGTCGCAAAATTCCGCGTAATGAAACATTGATTTTTATACTCCGTATTTAAAATACAATGACTCATTTAAATAAATGATCACACATGATTGTATAAAGTTATTAACATGTTGAGGAAACTATTCAATGAAAAATGTTACTTGTGTACGTTAGTTTACACGCTCGTTTACTGATCTAGTGCATTTTGTCAGTGCACATACATTTTATTTTCATTTTAATAAAGGGAACTAGGGGTGAGCATAACGGTTTGGTTTAATCGAACCGTACCAAACCGAACTAAATCGGACCGAAATCGGACCGTATGCAATTTGGTTTAAATTTGATACTATTTCTTCCAAACTGTATTAGATTGAACCGAACCAAAACCGATAGATTTCGAACAAAACCAAACCGAACTAAAAGAATTCAAAAAAAACTTCATATATTATTAAAAATTAACAAAATCCAAACAATAGTTTTTAGTTTTTTACTAAAACAAAAGTCAATTTTTTGGACAGACAAGATGCACTCGACAAAGGGGCGTGTATGCATTTTTGTTATTCAATAGACTACCCGTCCAGGACTCTTCTCACGTTTAAATTTGAGCTGGGTACCAAAATAAGCGATTCCCCGCCAGATCGAGATTTTAGCGCTGCCTATATTTCAATACTGCGCGGAAGAGTATTCCTTCCCGTGTCTCTATGATCATCGCCAACTTTACACGTATTGAAGATGTTATAGCAGTTAGATCACATAGATATACATCTATGACTACAATTAAAAAGAAGAAAGAGCGAGTCACGTTAATCCTGCGATTATCTAGAAGCTTTAGGCTCCTCCACATTTCACATGCACATGTCTATTCGTCATCTTTCCAGCCCTATATTGCTATTTGCCCGGAAAGTTTCTGTGTTTATTTTCTGTTTTTACAAATTTCTGTTCGATTTTAGGGTGAAAATCGACCAGATTCTCGGTTTCTTGCATAAAGTATTCTGCTTTAAGAATCGCCTTTAACCCTTTCATGCACTCCATAAAACATAGCCTTTAAATCATTGTGATATTGTCATATTGGACTGTGTGATTGGGAGAGCTATGAAGCTTTTATCTTGATCAGCCGAAAGATTGGTTTTTGTGTCATTTAGATTTCCGTAGGGATTGAAATGGATATCCCGGAGACGTAGTGAACAGAAAGCGCTCTAATGACATCTGGAAATCAGGAAAAGATATAATACACAGATTGGTTAGGGTGGTTTGGATTTTCGGTGAGAAAGTTCATTCATTTCATTGGAGAAAGGGGCAAAGAAATGACTTTAGGGTTGTCTTCTTTGTTCTCCAAGACGGAATTGCTCACGTCGGACCATGGTTCGGTTGTGTCGATGAACCTCTTCGTCGCGCTGCTTTGCGCATGCATTGTTCTTGGACATCTACTAGAGGAGAACCGCTGGGTGAACGAGTCCATTACTGCACTTATACTTGTGAGCTTTCAAGCCTATGTTATTAATCTCATCCCTTGGTACTCAGTTTCGTTTATCACGACCCCTATGAATGTGATGGTCTATTCAGATTTCCAAACGTATAGATGTTAAGCCATAGGGTATCAGCCAATTCAACAGCTTCTTAAGGCTTTTTTCTAGCTTGTGACTCTGAACTGGGGAAGTCTTTAATATAAGTGACACAGCCGAGTAGCATGTAAAATAGGAAAGCACATGTATAGATAGCTTGATTAGACTAGTGTACATGGATCTTATATTAGTTTTTTATTTCAATCTTTCTGATCCTTCACTGTTGGCTATTAATATCTAGAAATAAATTGCTATGATTGATGGCAGGGTTTATGCACAGGAGTTGTTATTTTACTCTTTAGCGGGGGAAAGAGTTCCCATCTTTTTGTCTTTAGTGAAGATCTTTTCTTCATATATCTCCTTCCGCCAATAATATTCAATGCTGGGTAATTCCTAAATCTGAAACTGTATTACTTGTGTTTAGTTGAATGCTCATATTCCTTGTATAAACTGCTTTTCTCAGTTACCCTCATTATATTGCTTCATCTTTCGACCGTAAACCAGTCTCCCCCCCATAGAAAGAGAACTACATAGTTGTCTTTGCATCATGTTTCGCCATTAAATTCAAAATGATCTGAGCTAGTATTTCCACATGTAGTCCACAAATATTTATCTTGCTCAATACTTCAGTTTAGTCAAATTGATCATACTCTCAGCCAATTAAGTTCATTTATACATTATGGCTAAAAAAGTTGTCATTAAACAAAGTATTTCTGTAAAAAGAAAAAGGTTCACCAGACATGCTTTTACATGGTTGGAGATTTAAGTATTTTACTTTTTTTGTCTTTATTTTATAAAAAATGTGTAGCACATAATATTTGCTAACATTGGTAAAACTCTACTTGTAATTGGATCGAAAACATAAATGGTGTTTCCCAGAGGAACCGAAAATCCATTTTATGAAGAAAAAACGCCGAAAAAAACGCCAAATAAACGCTTCTACTATTTCAAATTAATAGTAGTAACGTAAACCCTTATACTTGAAATAAGTATAATACAAATACGCTTACTTTGAATAAAAAATCATTCTAGCCATTTAGGAATGGAGAAAAACTGATAAAATTTTGAAGGTCATCAAAATTTCAAGGGTATAGAACTAAGGATGTCAAACAGTTGAGATCTATAAATAACTAAAAACGTAAAAAGTTATAAAAAGAAATATCAAATATAAAAAGTTTTAGGCCAAAGTTTTAAAAGTATAAAAATGTAAATATTTATAGATTATTTGAAAATCTACAAAAAGTTATAAAAAGGTATATGATTTGTCACAAAAACTTGGTTCAAATCAAGTATGTTTCAAATGAAAAAATAAACCCATTTTTATCTTTTTTATAAAAATCTAGTTATGTGTAAACTTTACACTTTTTTTTCATTTTTTCATTTTGATTTGTATACATTTTTAATTATTAAATACTTCTGATTATTTGTATATTTGTATGACTTTTTCATTTTTTCAAGTTTTCCAGTTATTTTCAAAAGGTAACCTGTTATAGACCTATTAGGAGGTTCAATTTCGGTAAAGTAAGCGTCTTTATATGGTACTTTATTTAGTATAAGGGTTGATGTGATTAATTTGAGGTGTAAGGTTATTTTTTGGCCCTTTTTCCCTATTTTTATGTAGCAATTAAATTTGAGAAATGTAAGGGATTTAAATATATTAACACTATAGCAGGATTAGTAGTAGTAGCTATAGTTTTCCAAAGTTCTAGGGCCGTGTATGTTTATGAAATCAATAACCAATTCCAGAAATTATATGAGTAACTCTTAGTGTACCACTGCTTTGTGCAGGTTTCAGGTGAAGAAGAAGCAATTTTTCGTGAACTTCATGACTATAATGCTGTTTGGAGCTGTTGGTACACTGATTTCATGTGCTATTATATCAGTTGGTATACAAACCAATACCTTAACTTACTCATTACCATCTTTCTCCTGCATTTTGACAAAAAAAACTTTATGTTGCAACATAAATATTTGTTAACTTGTACCATAGTTTGTTTTTGTAAATATAAGTGGAATAGAAAACTGCTAATGTACCATCTCGAATCGATTTATATATTTTTCTTGTTTTCTGGTGATATAGGGAAAGTGTGTTTCTTATAGAAATCAGTACCTCGTTTTTACTGCTTTTGAAATAGGAAGTGAACCTGGATACTTTTTTTTGTGTGTTTTCATGTCTACATTTTGCTTGCTTGAGTGCTTTAATACTTAAGAACCAATAAAACATATGTGCTGTGGTTACTCACTCAGGTTTATTTTCACATTATGCTTGATGGGTATACTTAATAATACCAGAGTAGCCTGTGCCCAATGAGATTATGAATAACATAAATTCATAGCCGCTGTATTCATTGAAGGCATGAGATGCTATGAATACATTGTTGATGTCCTCACTTATCAGAAACTGCTTCACTTTTAGCCCCCCCTCCCCCCCGGTGGGCAATGATGTAATGCATCATCAATATCTTATCTAGTTTGACCATCATTTATTTTAGTTGTTAAGTGTTCTTTTAGTTTGTTTAAAAGCTTATTCACAAATTATCAACTTATATTGCTAGAACTTATTTTATGTAGGTGCTGTCGAGATTTTCAAGAAATTGAAAATTGACTTTCTGGATTTTGGAGATTATTTAGGTATCAAGTATATTTTATCTGTTTCAAACACACGCACAACACTGATTTCATATTTCTTGGTTCTAACAACTTTTATTGTTCTTTTATTCAAAACAACTTTAGCAATTGGTGCAATATTTGCTGCAACCGATTCTGTTTGTACATTGCAGGTACTGAATATTATGAACTGATTTTTTTCAATTTGGTGAAACACTATTTCCAAAATACATAATAAGTTTCTATTATGCAACAGGTGCTCAGTCAAGATGAGACACCCCTACTTTACAGTCTTGTGTTTGGGGAGGGAGTTGTCAATGATGCTACATCAGTGGTGCTTTTCAATGCTATTGAAAGTTTTGACATGTCAAGTTTTGATCCCAAGATCGGGCTTCATTTTCTTGGAAACTTCTTATACTTATTTCTCATGAGCACTTCTCTGGGTGTGGCAGTAAGCTCTTGTCCCACTACCTCTCACACCTTGTGTTGTTTGCTGGCATGTATGCCTACCCATACCTTTTAGAGTGTGTCTGGATGCTTTTGTATCCACTTGTTTTATTTTATGATTTTCTTCACATTTTCCCTTCATATACATTTTGCCTCAATTTTATTTTGCCTCTTGTTCTGGATCTGCAGACTGGACTGCTCAGTGCTTATATTATCAAAAAGCTATACTTTGGGAGGTAAGTTATTGTAAGGGATCCCTAAGTCTCAGCATCTACGTTCTACAATTTTTATGGATTTTAACTTTATGAATGTAGGTATTAAATGAAGTCCGTACACATTTTATAGTCCTTTTGCCTGAGAAATTTCATCTTTGCACTCACAAACTAAGCATGAGCTGATCTTGTCTTAACTTGCTATTGTAGAAGAAATTGCTTAGATAGGTACTTGCTATACTACATGAAACAAGTCAGCCGCTATAGTTACAGGATAAAAAAATGCATTCTAATTGGCATATAAGCTATTCAGATTTGGCCGATTTGGCTTTGGTTGTAAGAGCACATTAAAGATTACAATATAGTATATACGGAGTAGTTTTTGTTTTTAATGATTTCATAAAGTATTAGAGATCGAAAAACTTCAAAGAAGTAAAATCAGATTCGTATTTGGCAGAACAGATATGTATTTTCTTTTGTCACGCTTGTTAAAGTAGTGAAATATCTGATAAGATTCAGAAAGGGGAAAACAATAGGAAATGAGTAGATAATTTGAGTAATGAAAATGGAAGTGGGAAACTAATTTGGAGAAGAGGGCGTAATATTCTTTCTGGTAGGTAACTTGAAGCTGCACAAAAACAAGAAAACATTTCCATGAGATCTCATTGGTATAAATGTACATATCTGTTCTGCCAAATAGTCATGTGAAAATGTATGTACTCTTCATTTATGCCATCATATCTCCATGGCAGTGGTAAAACTTGTAGGTATATCCTTCCCAGTCTCAATGGAAACCTTTTTGCATTAAACAGCTGCATGCTTTTTCTTATAAAACTTTGAATTTGTCCCCTAATTGACATAATGTGCATTAAGGGTATTACAAATTACAACCTACTTTACAAGTACACACATTTTTTTTATCATATTTAGGGCAGTTTCTGCATTGAGAAATCCAAACACATACTTTAATTTGTCAAAAAAAATATGTGATTTTTTTTAACTTGGTATTTCATCTTTCTTTTTTGTTAAGTTTCAGCTTTTCTCTTACAGCTCTTAGTCTCATTTGTTTGATTTGTGATATCAGGCACTCTACGGATCGTGAGGTTGCCCTTATGATTCTCATGGCTTACTTGTCCTATATTATGGCTGAGGCAAGATTTCACTTGTGACATTAATGCTCGTGATAGTGTTGAGCTGCTCACTAGTTGCAATTAAGCTAATGCTTCCATCTTCTGCAGTTATTTTATCTCAGTGGCATACTTACAGTATTCTTCTGTGGAATTGTCATGTCCCATTATACCTGGCACAATGTGACTGAGAGTTCAAGGATCACTACCAAGTATGCTTGTAAAACATTTGTACTACTTAAATTCCCCTTATTTTTTTTCTTTTTTCCTTATCAACAAGATGTTTTACCCACTTTATTTGGCAACACAGGCCTAATTTTTGATAAAGAAAAAACAGCGTCAAAAGTACTTTTTTGGCTTAACTTTCAAAAGTGAATGCAAGCGATAGCTATATCTTCATTTTTAGCTATTACTTTCATTACTTACTAAGAAATATTTTAGTTTTTGATAATACATCAAGATTGCGCCATAAACTATTTCAACTACACTTCAGAAAAACCAGCAACTTCAGTCATTTCAGCCAAAATCGCCCTTATTTCACAGCCTCTTAAAGTTTTATTCTATCTCCATTGTGGTTGCAGGCATTCCTTCGCAACTCTATCATTTGTCGCCGAGACATTTATCTTTCTCTATGTTGGTATGGATGCCTTAGATATTGAGAAGTGGAAGTTTGTTAGTGATAGGTATGTTGAATACAGCCATACAGGTCATTTTAATAATCTATATATGCTTGAAGCAGTGATTAATTGTCAACTATGAAAGACGATGCACACACACATACTTACGATCCTTCATAGTTCATAAGCTTTTTGTCAACACCATTGATTAACTTCAAGATATTCAGCTCTAAAAGATCACAACAGTAAGGAACTTTTGTGTGTCACTTTTTTTTTTTTTGTAATTTAGTTCATGAACCTCTCAACCTTCTTGTATCTGATCACTTTTCTTGCAGCCCTGGACTCTCGGTTGCAGTTAGCTCAATATTGGTAGGACTTATCCTAGTAGGCAGAGCTGCCTTTGTCTTTCCCCTATCGTTTTTATCCAACTTAGCAAAGAAAAATACTTCTGACAAGATATCCTTCAGGCAGCAAGTAAGGAGTTATCCTTCAGACCTTCAGAATTTGTTCTTCTCTTATACATATTTGAATATTCTTTTCTTACTCCTTTCTATTAGATAATAATTTGGTGGGCTGGTCTAATGAGAGGTGCTGTCTCAATAGCACTTGCGTATAATAAGGTAAAGATGTTTATAGTTGTTGGTCATGATCCCACTTAGAATATGAAGCTGCTTGGCTGCTCTTTACGTTTCTTTCTGCTTGGTAATACCATTTATATACCCTTGCAGTTTACAAGTAAAGGGCATACACAAGTGCAAGAGAATGCAATAATGATTACCAGTACTGTTACTGTTGTTCTATTCAGCACAATGGTAAGGAGGGGGGAGGGGACTACCGTCTCCTGTACAGACTTTCTCTTCCTCCAGTGATAATTCAGCTAGATCCAACACTAATTTGATTGGTGTTATGATGTGCATAGGTATTTGGCTTTATGACAAAACCTCTTATAAGTCTGTTGCTACCTTTACACAAGCAGTCAACTAGTGCTTTCTCATCAATGACAACATCTGAATCTGGTACTCCGAGGGACTTCACTGTTCCACTTCTTGACAACCAACACGATTCAGAAAACAATCTAAATGACACCTCGGCGAATGTTCCTCGACCTACCGCCTTACGCATGCTTCTAAGCACACCGACTCATACTGTGCATCGCTATTGGCGTAAGTTTGATGATTCGTTTATGCGGCCTGTTTTTGGTGGCAGGGGATTTGTTCCCTTTGTTCCAGGCTCACCAACTGAGGGGGGTGTCAGCCCTAGCTGAGGTACAAATGTAAGAAGTTCAAAAAAATGCAACACTATATGAAAAAGGGCATCTTATCAAGAAAGGGTAGTCAACTAACTAGTCAAGCTCACAAGTCACAATTTTAAGACGGCTGGCGATTAGGATTTGCATCCCTAAGTTGTTAATATCTGGGTGAAATTGTGAATCTTCTTACTGTCATAGTTGAGCCTGACTACCCTATCTTAGGGTTGATGTAAGTTATAGGTCTCAAGAACTCAACCCCAGAGAATGTTCTGGCAAAAGGTCGGTGATTCTCAATAAAGTTATTCTGTAATTGTGTATATATGCTGGTGCATTTGTAGGCATCGTATATGACCTTTATCTTCAACATTATCCCTCCAAATTCCAAAGGATGGGTTCTCCACATTGAGGAAGCCATGAGCACCCTGCATGTCATGAAGGGTTCTACTCCAAAAAAAAGGTCAATTCGGGTTTGTTTATAACTTTATATGTATCTAGTCCTTAAATATGTCCCTCGGTTGATCTTTTCGGTCTCTTTTGTGCTCTTTGATGGGAATGATGAAATAAAAAGGATTAAGAGTTGAAGTTTCATGGGTTTCTAATCTAAACAAGAATAAAGGAGTGTTTGGGTTTGCTTAAAAAAAGCGATTTTCAGCTTTTGGCTTAAAAACAGTTGAAAAGAGTGTTTTCAAATGACAACTTCTGCTTAAATTAATCACTTAAAAGCTAAAAGCTGGAAGCAGGTAGAAGGGTGCTTTAAATTGCTTCTCACTTTTTCTATTACACAAAAAGTACTTATTTTACTAAACACTACCAATTTTTTTTACTTTTCCAGAATCATTTTTTTCTCAAATACTACCAACTTTTACTATTAATCACTTTTCCCAAAATCACTTTAAAAAATCACTTTTTTAAAGTTGAAGCAACTGCAAACACTCCCTAAGACTTCTTTTATGTCGGTATTTATGTTTGACTAAGAATGCCTAGTCAAACTGTTATCAGGGCCGGCTCCAGCCGTTTGGAGGCCCTAGGCGGAAAAGCTTCACAAAAACTTCAATAAACATATATTACTACCAAATTTAACATATGTTTTACTTCTTCTTAATATGAATTTCAAAACAATATAGTTTTAAATGTAACATACGTAAAATGTACTAAAAAAATGTATTTTTTAATACCCAATTCTCCTGGCCTTTTGAAGTGCAAAACTAGTAAAGACGTCATTACAATCAAGATGATTTTCACTTTTTGTTGAGAATACCTTACACAGACGTATTTGTTTTTATTTAGATCATTCAGATTGAGAATACTTAGGTAAATGATCTACTTTATTGATGTAGAGGTAGCATTGTAGCAACAGACTTTTCTTGAGATCCAAACTGGTCTGGCCTAAAATGCTAGAAAGTTTTTTTTATCACAATTTTCTTGGATTTGGTTTATTACAATATAAGTTTTTAGATAAGCATGCATTATGATAAACTCAAAAATCAGATTTCGCTCATTACATTTAAATATTTGTCTTGGACATGTTTTTGCAATTAAGCATCATCATGCATCAATACATCATCTATTTAATTAAGGCGTTCTTGGAAAATCTCAATGCTTCAAGCAATTAGGGCCTAATGAACTAAACAATTGTTTTTAAATCAAATGAATCGCAACCTAACAGTTCACCGTTACTTTTGAATCAAGTCCGTTATAATTAAATAGCTCGTTTGGTGCGTGGAAAAGAGTACACAGGGAATGAAACTTGAGTTTCATGAAGAAAAAATAACAGCTTCTTTTGTTTGATAGCAAGTAATTAAAACTATGGGGATTTTATATCCAATAGAAAAGAAAAGAACCAGCAACAAGTACTAATAAAGGACCAAATTAGATTAATTAAAATGAATTTATTCAAGTAAAAAAATCAATCCAAGCTCTGTACAAATAGGAAATAGTTTTAATGTACTCAATTTGTTCATTCAGGAATTTAGTTTGAAACCATTTGGTGTTATGATGTTATCAATATCGCGTGACCGGGAGAAGTGTTAAAACATTACAAACAAAATTCCAAAAGAAACATATCATTTAAGAGCATCCTCAATCGGACAGTGTTGACATTAAAAAATGAACGATATGTCATCCCTGTTAACATTACCGTGCAATATTCCTTTCCAATGCACATGTTTATATTCATGTAATGCTGAGCTGTCAAAATAAAATTTGGACATCGTATACATGACCGTCTTCTCACGACAGCTCCCTTGACATGCTGACTCAGCATACATAAAACCAAAATTACTGAAAATATTCACCAAACCTCCCCCGCCGATCTGCCGGCCAAAATATTATTCACTGCATTCATTCACCTTTCCATTTTTGGAGTAAAGCTTACGTTCCATAGAGAGCAACAGATTTTTAAATTCAAAGATTTGCTTCCGATGCAGTCAGTCCTGTGGGTAGGCTAGCAGTGTCGGCGCCCTGCCTTCTTCGGAGACCCATCTGTATAGACTATCACTGCTTCAGTTTGAAAACCCTGTTTTTTCCTCTCTGCTTATGAATAATACGGAGTATAATCACACTGTGGAATAAAATGAGTAAATAACGTTTAATTAGTGCCTGATAACTTTTGTATTCACTTGAGTTCGAAAATCACAATCAAAATATAGTTTGATCCATGGAGAGAGTTTTGTTGCCTTTGAGCAGTCAAAGAATACAATTTGACATCACTTCTGTATTTCTATGAAGTGGCCGGCGCATCGGGAAGCTTTTTGGGTTCTAAGAGTAATTTGATTAAATACTCCGTATCAGTTTTGGATTATTTTAATTTGGAAGTGGTTACACGTTTCTTGGTTATATGGGCGGTTGACATCAAAGCATTGAACTATTGAAGATCATTTTTCGATTTTAATGTCTACCAAAATGAGGTGGATGAAAATTCCATTTATCAATTGACATGTGTCAAAATTTATAGCATGTTAACACTATGCCATTGATGATGCTCTAAAAATCCAAATAGTAAAGCAGAATCCAAAGTTCCAAACACTAGCTGACTAGCAAATGAAGGCCATACACCCACCTTGTTCTTGGGTTGAGAAGAAGCACGTTACATAGAGCCGTCAAGTGATGCAAAGGATGACAGCAAAAAGGAGGTGAAAATGTTGTGGGGTTTTTCAGCACATAAATGGCAATTTGTCCAATTTGAACAAATAAATGTTAGATCCGGTGTCTCTACCTTACTTAAGCAAAGGAGGTGTCTGGCCATTTACGGTAATCGAAAAAAATAATAATAGTACAAGATAGAGGGGTCACTTTTTCACGAAGACAAATGATCCAAATCCATAAATGTTCTAGGGGTTTTCAGCACAAATGGAGTCTACAATTAAATTTGTTCATTTGAAGGGCAGAACACAAGGTTTTATGTTTGGTTGTTGTGTCTAATTTTCTACTCCTCGTTGATTTGTACTTTGAGTCAATGAATGATATGCAGGTGTGTAAGTGTGTTTTCTAAAAATTGGCAATTTACCCCTTCAAGTTGCAATTTTGTTCCCATAAGGTGATGGGAAATGAACGAGAAAATATATGGAGCACACAAACTTGCTCAGTACAGAGCATGTTGGCGTGATGAATGAATAACATTTTCTGGATATTTTAGATGATTGAATCCTGATCATTCATCATGCCAACATGATCTGTAGTAAGCACGTTGACATGCTTCATATATTTTTTGGAAAGAGAACTTAGAGGCTTCATATATTTTCGAGAAACTTCAGAAGTTATCTTGTGCTCTTTTGGAAACTTGAATTAGTATTCCCCATAAATCAAGATATATGAGGAAAAGAAATTATTTTCCTCTAACAAACAAGCTCTAAAGAGTACGATATAGCAGCATACAAGCAAATATAACTCGAGTCCACTTGCTAATTTGACATCGGATAAAATGAAAATTGCCTCCAAAGTCCATACCACACTCTACTATAATTTGTTTTTTTTTTGAATATTAATTTGTTTAGTTTTAATTATAAAGATTTTGGTTTTATCACAAAAAGCGTTTGACAAATTCAATTTGTATAAAAGTACGCAAATTTGTTGATTATTCTGAACAGACTTGACTAGTTAAAAGATAAAAAAGATAGTACATATTTATAATTTTTATAAACAATATTTAGCAAGCACGAATTTTTTTTCCAAAAAGGCAAGTCTTTTTTTAATACCATAAACAGGTATAGTTACTGGCCTCTTTCTTTTTTTGAATTAAAACAGGTAAACCGTAAACCCCAAACTCGGAAAAAAAAGCCAATTAAGAGCATCTTCAATGGTTCCTTTTGAAGATTTGCTTGCAATTTCAAAGCTAATAGCTTACCATTAGTCATGGACCCGGGCCGGGCCGGGCCCGGCCGGGCTTTTTTTTTGAAAGGAAGGCCCGGGATCGGCCCGGGTAGCCACCGGGTCCGGTCCGGGTCCGGGCCGGGCCGGGCCGGGTTGGGCTTTTTTTGGGGGGAATTTTTCACAACAAGACTAAAGGATGAAAATAATATCACTTTTTTTCAACTTTGCCTTCTTTTTCAAACATAGACTTATTAAGTTTTGTATCTTAAAAAATTATAAGCACCAATGATGGTAAGGGTACATTAGGAATAGAAAAAATGTTGGTGTACTAAAGAAGCAATAACAATTTGTTCAGTATGCATAATAAGTTGTACATTTGTAATCGATTGATCTTTCTAACCCTGTTCTTCCGTTTCTATTCTGTTGCTTTACGCTATGTTATAAAAAAACCATCCATTTTCATTCCCGTTTCATCTCTTTAGTGAGTTTAATACTACCTATCAACTTTAACATTTATTTTGATTATTAATAAACAATGTTTTACCTCTTTTCTTTTCAATAAAAAAGAATATCCAATGGGAATTAGGCTACAGGTCATATCCTCAACCATATGTGGTGCTGCAAAGAACGTTTTAGAAAGTGCCGGTGGGAGTGAATCTTACGGAAAAGACTTTGGCAGAAACACATTTTTGAACCATTCTTATACAATTAGCTGAAAAGATATTTTTTTTAGATTTTTAATTGTAAATTTTAAATGACTGAAAATATCTGAAAATGAAAAGCTATTAGCTACGTAGTATTTGATAAAATACTGAATGTTTGATATAGTTATGTTTGATATACAAATTGTTCTAACTTATTAATGTTAAAAGTTACAAACTTTTCTCAAATGTTACTCAGTGTATCTTTAAAAAAACTTTTTTTTTTGATAAAAACTCTTAAAAATTGTCTTGCAAAATATACAACTAGAAACTTTTAAGAACTTTTTAAATACAAACTAGAGTAGTAGAAAAGCTAGAAGATATAGACTTATGTCTACTAAACATGTTCATAATATATACTAATATTTCCGACTGATAATGGCTTTTAAACTATTCCCATAAAACTTAGATCCTTTTTTAAGCTATTAGGATGTTTTTAATTAGGTTGTAATTTTCTGACCTGATTTGGTATGTTTAAGTTTGGTCTTGTCTGGTCTATTTGAATCTCGATTGGTTTGCTTAAATTCGATCTGGTCTATTTGGTCTGGTCTAGGGCTGCAAACAATCTCAATAAAAACATTCTTATTTATCAAATTATTCATCATACATCTTTACGATTTTTGGTAGATCTATTTTACTTTTCTTGGGCCACAATTGTTCCTACGCTTATTAAAAAAATGATAAATGACAGATTACACTAGCTCCTAAGGTTTATTTCGATGATTGATTGAATAAGTTGATTAAATCCAATATGAATTAATAGCTATGCACTAAATTGTACTACACACTATTTTTTTGCAATTAATTGTACTACATACTATATTTACTAATAGTTGTGCACTGATTTGTAAAAATTAAGCTTATAATGTGAATTCTTTATTTATTCAGTAGACTAAATAAAATTTAATTAGTCCCTGGGGGGAGGGGGGTCTAGGCGCAAAAAAATGAAAAAAGCCTGTGTTTAGTTCTTTATAATAGCTAGGTGTGAGTAGACAGATTTTTTTTTTTCAGTCCTAAAGTAATAATTTTTCGGGTGGAATTCTTTGAGGTGCTTGCTGGTGTTTTTTTAATGAAAATTTATGAGCATGTTGTTATCAAGTCTATATTATGTCCACGAAATTTCATTTTAGAACTCAATCTAGAAGATAGTTAAATAATCTATGAATAATTTATTTAACTGATTTTTCGATTGAATATTAAGAGGAATTTTGTGAACAAAATGTACACTTAATGAAAAACATGCTTACAAAATGTCATAAAAATATCCACGTATTGAAAGCAAATTAGCCTAATATGATTATTTGATTAATCTATTAGTTGATTTCATTCATAGTTGGTTGTTTGATTTTGTAATCGTTGATTGTCTCTATTGAGTATTAGGGCAAGACCCTTTTTAATTCTTTGCCCCTGAGCCTTGAAACATTTAGGATAGGCCCTGCAAAATTTGTTACTAAGTTGTTGCATTTGATTTAATGGTAATATACATTGTTAAGGCTTAAATAGTGTTGACCACGTTTACAAATTAGGCTCATGATTAAGGGAACATAGTGAAACAAGCCATGCATATCATGAAAGGATGCAAATATGTTCTTTAGGTTTTGATTTTGTTAGCATTTTTTGTATTAATCCCTCAAAAAGAGGATTTATAACACCCTCTTTAATACATTCTCCTAAAAAAACTGATTGTAATATAATATACTACGTACTATTGTATTATGTACCATTTTACATATATAAATAGTTTAACAATTTTGAAACTCGAATTGATTAGTGATCTTGAATGGTCCTATCCCCAAACACCAAAAGTTCACTAATAATAAATGTATATCGAACTTTTTCCCACAGTTTACCACAAATTGCAAATCTGCAAATGTAGTTATCATGCCTATGATTTAATGCTTGGATATCACATGCGGTTATCAGAATACATGTACTCATTTCTAACTTTCACACGAGTTCTAATGAAACTTCTTAATTTCTTAACTTTTTAGAAACACAATCATTTTCATTCTAGGATGCCTATCTTATTGTGTGGAAGAATGGATGATCTTGTTGGATTCAAAATTATATTGTCAATGTTATTGGGCACTATCCCACACGCGCAACGCGCGTTAAAAACTAGTTTCAATAATAGACATCAATACGGAGTAACGGAGAGCAGTAGCACTACATCGTAAGTCTCCAATTACGATAGTAGATTAGGATACACTAAACTCCACAATTGCAGCGTAAAGTTTTAAAATTGGGATTTTTCACTAATAAGTGTAAAACTGCAAATTTATCAAACAAAAAAAATTCATTTAAAGTCGGAAAAATGATACCTATAAGAAAATATTAAAAATAAAAAAATTAAATTAAACAAGAAACTCTCAAAGTAAAAAATATTTATAAATGAAAAATTAGAAAATAATGTAGATTTCAACAAAAAGGAATTTCATTTTTAAATATATTATAAAAATGTAAAATCCAACATACAAATATAAAACCTTTAAAATAGTTAAATGTGGATATTTTTTTTAAATCACAAAATAAGAGTTTGTAATGATAGTTTAATTAGTGAAATTAATTCATATAAACTATCAAAAATACTAAAAGTTTTGAAAATTAAAAATTTAAAAAATCTAAAAAATGAAAAATTACTCAAAACGCAAAACAAGATCAAAATATTTTGATTTTTTTTTGTAACAAGGACTAGCGGCTTATATTAATAACAAAACATTCAGCAAGGGATACAAATGATAAAGGAAACACTTCCAGCCACCAACCCTCGGACCAGCTAGAGAACCAATCACCCTAACAAGAGCAATATGATTCGCTTGTCCTGTAATGGGTCTAAATGAGCCTAACGTGGCCAGAGCAAAACCCTCACCACCCCCACCTAATGTAAGAGTCTGGCAGACAGAAACAATACAAAAAACAACAACGACAATATTCATTCCTAAGAACCTCAAAAAGAGTAAAACGAGATTAAATAAGATAAACTGACAGAGCGAACAAATTCTTGCTGCAAGCATCATCCTCGGCGGTGGCTCAGGAGGGGGGCGGATCATCAGACCTTCATCCACCTCTTCGTCTTCTTTCGCCCGAGGACTCCTATTCAGAGCCTCTTCCTCACCCATGTCTTTCTCTTCAAGAGCTTCATCCTCAAACACCAATTCTTCTTCATTATTCCAAATCACCATGTCTCTGCATTTGTTAGCGATTTCTTCCATCATTCAAACGAAGAGAGACTGAGCAAAATCTGCCTCTATACTCGAAGCTAAAGCCGCTGCCCAGAGAAAACTGCACTCAAAGACAAAACGAAGGAAAAAGAAAACCAAGCTCCACACTAATACCCCAAATCAAATGCCCGAACCAAACTATCCCTCCCTTCCACGATCGAGAAGGAGGAGACGCCGCCGGGAGAACACTAACCCTAATTACCTAGGGAGACGGCCGCCACCATAAAGGATGTATCCTCGTGTAAATATTTTGAAATTATTAAAAAAAGAGAATTAATAAAAAAATATGAAATAGTAATTTAAAAAAAAAATTGAAATATAAAGAAAACAAATGTAACTAAAAAATGAACATATAAAATTTGAATACATTCATGAAATTCAAATTTAATTTAATATAATAAAACAAAAGAAGAAAATATGATTCATGATTTTTATAAAACCAGAAAACAAATGCAATCTAAAAGGTGTGTAAAATATCGTAAAATAAAAAAAAAACAAATTTAAAATTAAAATAAAGAACATGTAAAAAAAATTAAAATTGAAAAATGGATTTTTAATTTAGTTTTTAAAAATAGTTAATATTTGTAAATATTACCATTATCATTTATTGCTAATTTTTGTACTTTTGTTGCATATGGTTTCTTTGTGTTTCTTTTTGTTGATAACTTTAATTTTTTTATTGTTTCTTTGTGTTTCTTAATGTTTTTTATATTCATACGTACAAATTTATCATTTTAGACGTTTAAGTGTGTGTGTATATACAATGTACGCTTTATTATTATTATTATTATTATTATTAATTAATAAGAGGATCAAATACATAAAAGTGAGTGGGACAAAAGCCTTGCCTCACAAAAACGTTAGTGGTGATAAAATTTAGAAGTAAATTACATAGGGAATATTGAGTTTCTCTAATGTGATTTCATCACTTTTAATATCTCTGGTGAGGTCATAATAGGAGTAGAAAGTCATCCCTGATCGTCCTGTGGCGGATAAAGTGGCTAAGAGTCCAGCCTTGGATTCAGCTACTTTGTGGCCGATAAAGTGGCTAAGAGTCCAGCCTTGGATTCGGCTACTTTGTGGATTACATTACCCTTTGCAATGCTTCACAACCAACTCCTTTCATTCACGAGGCTGAAATTATTAGAGCACAAGAAGTCCAGAACTGATTTAGAAGTGACACCAATCTCCATTCTAGCAAAACCAGTAATAGCATACCAATTAATGACCTCCTGTAGAGCATAGTAAGATTAATGAGTACTCCTATCAATTTGCACAGGTAGCTACAATGTTCCCACTCAAACCATATCTCTGAGTGAGTTTTGAAAAATGAAACCTGTTGTCTTATGTTTTCTTTGAATAGCCAGATTTAGCTTGAACATAGCACTACCCTGTTTCTGCCCGGTAACACTAGGAGATTTTGGCAGATGAATTTTTTCCCAGAAGAATGCAATAATGCATAGTTCTCTAACATAAGTTGATCCATTTGCTACTTTTGAATCAGACTTGCTCATACACCAAGCAAACATATATCGTGTAATTTTATTAATAATGTGACTCTAAATGTTTAAATCCCTAGTGCTCTCCCTCCTCAAACATGTCACTATATACTTTCCATAAATAACATAGAATAATACCTGGGGTTAGCATTTTATACAAATCATCCAACACACATGTATTTCCTTATAGCCACCACACTAAGCATGCCTCCCTAACTGTTGCAGCCAACTTTAAATCCATCTAAGACACTAGACTTAAGTGCTGACATACACATCTAGCATTTGCACAAAGGTAAAAGATATGGTGTCATAGTTGCATTGTTAGAGTAACAGAAAGGGCAAACCGAAGGGAAGGAACTGTATATACTAGCCAAAACTTCAGGTATGGGCAAACATCCAAACCAAATCTTCCGTAAGAATAGACAAGTCCATAGTGGTCGTGTAAAACCTTCAAAGCATAAAGAGACTTATATTATATGTACAAAGAAGTAACAAAGATAAGCACATATCCAAAAACAGTAAAAATAAAAAACAATAATTAGCAACACGACGCAACAAAAAGCAACATGTTGCAACATGATGCAACAAAAATAATGCAACAAAAAGCAACACAAACTTATATTGAATACTATGTATCATGTTTCTCCAATAACCAATTTTGTAATTTTTTTCTTCAATAACCAAGCTGAATTTTATACAAAGGTTGAGTAGAGAGTAGTAGTCAACAATGAACAACATGATGCAACAAAAAGAAACAAAAGGCAACACGATGCAACAAAAGACATGTACGATACAACAAAAAGGAAAAAAAAGCAACATCTAAAACACAAGGTATTTAACAATATATCTAGAGGAACATTAATGGTTTCAGAAATATTTTCATTTCAACGCATGACTTGATAGTAAAAAGTATTTTACATAACAGAGTTCAAACTGCTAGAAGCTACTATTGCACGCAATTGAATATCAATGGTGTAAATGAAAACTAAAAGCACAAGTCATTAAAACATCATAAAATTAGACATTGACAAACAGTAATTGAAAGCACGTGCAATATCATACAGTGTTGATTGTTCATAAAAAAGATTTGCGGAGACATGTATGCATATTTCAAAAAATAAGAACAACAAATCAGGATATAAATAAAGCAAATTAAATTAGAGAGAGAACATGAGTGGAAAGGAAAAATAGAAGTCAAAAGAAGAATCTGAATCACAACTCAAGCTGATATAGAAAATAATCCATGACTTCTAAATTTAAAATCATAACAGAAAGCGAATTATAATAATTGAGATGAACAGATTCAATGTTTTCGAATCAAGCACTTTCAGGACATAGATTATAATACGATACAACTTAGCAAATTTAGACTTTTGAATTACAAGTTTACAAATCAACATATTAATGTGAGATTACCTTTACAAAATTAGGTTAGAAACCTAAGAGGTCATAATTTAAGCCAGAGGTAGATGGGGGTCAAATTAAGGAGAAATGAATAAATTACCTTTTGCTAGAATTCGGTCATCAGTGACCATACTAGGAGCAGTGCGGAGAGCATGGCTATGATATTTAGGATAAAAGAGGCGACCGGCTGGTTGGCGTCATAGGTTGGGACGATTAGGGACCGTGGCGAGATTAGGGACCGTGGCGAGTTAACGTAGATTCTTCACAAAGCCGATACAGGAATCGATCGAAGGATTTCATAGAGGCTAGCTAGAGCTGGATGATTGAAGAAAAGAGACAATGGAGGTCGAGTGTTTGAGAATGGAGGAGGGAGAGGTTGGAAGAGAAGAGCATGAGAGGAGGAGATTTTTTTCGCTGGATCCGGAGTGCGATTGATACGGAGGGATCCGAAAAGTAGTCTAAAAGTGAAATGAAAAACAGAAACTGAAAATCTAAAAGTTAAAAATGAAAAGAAAAAGTAGTTGGGTGATAAATGATATTCTAACGCCAATAGTCGACTCTGCGGGTAATTTGCACTTTTTTTGGGGAAGGAAGGCCCGGGACCGGCCCGGGTAGCCACCGGGTCCGGGCCGGGCCGGGCCTCCGGTTTGGTTAATTTTTTTTTATTTTTTATTTTTGCTTTCCTAACCCCCCCCCTCACCCCCCCACCCCCCCCAAACCCCTCCTAACCATCAAGCCCAACCCGGGTCTACCTTAAAAATGAAAAAAAAAAAAAAATCAATTAGGCCCGGGCCCGACCCGGCCGGGCCGGTTCGCCAAATACAAGGCCCGAGCCCGGACCCGCCCCCCCCCACCGGGCCTAGGCCCGACCCGGACCCGGACCCGAGAATCGGGCCGGTTCCGGTCCCGCACAGTGGCGGGCCGGGCCGGTCCCGGGCTGGGCGGCCCGAACCGGGTCCATGCCTACTTACCATTGAAGCATTGCTTTTCTTTTTGCTTGAGAAAACTAATTAGTCAAAATGAGCTACTATCTTGAACAAAGTGATTTCTTAAATATAACATTATTAATATTAAATGAAGTGGAAGAAGTTATAGCTATCCATTGAGTACATTTTAATTTTGTTGGGGCAAATACTTACGTGACTAGTCAAACTATGAGGGTAATTAACTAATCGAAATGTTCTAACTGCCATTCAAAGTTTCATATATAAGAAACCAAAATGACTAGTTCGATTGTCGTTCAAGATTTGGTCAAACTCGAACAAATTCATACAAACCCACCAACCACTAAAAAGTTATTCAATCAAATGGTCGTCAATAAAGCAAGTAAGCAACTATCACATGCTTAAAATTTATGATAATACCAATACGGTGTAACAATAAACAAAACAAAAACAGTTTATCAAAAGTTTCAGAAACTTTTCAATATAGCCATACCGAGTAGGAGGAATGTTCAGGTCCGAACATTCCTCGTCCGAGCATGGACGTTTGGGCCACTTCCTGGTGGAATGTTTTGATGAAATTTTTTGAGCATGTTCCTCATCAAGTCTAGTTTGTCCATACCAAATTTCAGCTCAAAATTCGATCGGGAAAGCATTCAAATCATTTTTTGAAGTTGACTGCGTCAAAATATACATATAAAAACGCAGTCAACTTCAAAAAATGATTTGAATGTCTTCCCGATCGAATTTTGAGCTGAAATTTGGTATGGACAAACTAGACTTGATGAGGAACATGCTCAAAAAATTTCATCAAAAAATTACACCGGGAAGGACCCCAAACGAGGATGTTCGGACGGAGGGTCCTGTCCGAACATGGGGACCTGATCATTCTTGTACCGAGTAGATACCTATATAACACTTATTATAGGAAACAAGAAAAGTATTTACAGCAGTAGATATCTAAGGAGTCACGCATAGGTCAATCCAAAAAATATATATAATGGGTCACTTGGGAGTTGGGATAGATGGAACCCTTTTTGTGAAGGTTCCTGCCCGAGTAGAGATAGAGATGATAAGTTTGCTATAATAGCTTTGCAGTTCCTGCTTCTATAAACGACCTAAAAGACATCCGAGAGTAATACTAATGACCGCAACCATCACCACATACATCAAAGGAAATCCGACTTGCACTTTTCTAACAACCTTCTTACTTGTCATTACGGCCTGCCATAAAACAAAAACAAAAAAGTCACCTGGTTACGGATGGACAAGAGATTTACCTCAGGAAGAATATACGTAGTAGTTCAGATAGAAAACTCATACTAAGACTACAAGTCAAGTCACATCCAAACAGGTTACCAGAAAACTCATACTAAGACTACAAGTCAAGTCACATCCAAACAGGTTACCAGAAAACTCATACTAAGACTACAAGTCAAGTCACATCCAAACAGGTTACCAATTATCAATTATGAAGCGAAGGCTAATTTATTCGTAAAATGAAAGCCAAGAATGCAATGCTGAGCTACACTTAATTTGCAAATCAGATTTTGTGTCCTACTGGAGTAAAGAAATTTAAAATGTTTCTTCCCCTTGCTATTTCTCTTTGGGCAAGTGAGTGGCAGTTAGCATACGAGGCTAGTTAGCATGTTATGTTAAAACACAAGTGAGACTTGTTACTCTTAGTTGTGATACAGATCTAGACCAGCAAAATCAGAGGAGAATCAGGGGAAAAAATAAGTAAAATTCATAGAGATGGAGGAAATCGAGGAAAATCACAAACACAAAGGGAGTCAATCATTTATAGAATTTCAGACTTGATTCTTGAAATAAGCAACTTAAAGTCACTCCTATCTTCAATCCATAGATTATTTACCTTATTTACATATTATGATGGACTATAAATAAGAACTTCCCTTACTAAAGAAGATAATTAGAGTCTAGTAGTATTTGGGACTCCTTAGAGTTAGACAGCCCTATGCGGTTTGGGAAGTTCATCTTGCCGGGGAATAACTTCTGGTATTTCATGTTCTTTTCTTTTTTTCTACACGTATTGTGTAAAACATAATCTTCTTTCTTGATTATTTCCCCCCTTCCCTCTGTACTCATCAATCTATGGCTATTATAATAAAACCTTGAAGGTCTCAAAAAGTGCATTAGGAGTTCCCACATGATGGAAAAACTTGACCCCAAGTCGTATATTCATATATGAAACAAAGAAAAATTGTAAAATAAGCTTTAGTGGCCCAAAAATTGTTTTGCAGGTATCAATGGTGTTTTTTATGCCAATTACATTGATATAATATTAACAGCACCAAATGAAGGATATATAAATTACCAATTCCTTTTGTAAGCTCGCTCTATCTTGAGCAATCTCTCTTCTCTCCTCTGTCAGCCTAGCAATGGTTGCTTCAGCCTTCAATGAAAATATACCACACAATGCCATTAGTAATATGATGAATCATTACGACATCACTATTAAATTAGGCAAGACTTTCAAGTCAAAGAAGGGATTAATCTTATGGACTCCAAACTAAAAAAAAAATCCAGCCAACCAACATTCAATTATCTATACTGCTATAGAGCACATATTTATCATCTCTGAAATACAGGGACCATTATAGATGAGTCTAGCCACATTTTAGGGGTAAATAATTTATGATTTGTTATATATGTATATTTATAAATTTTATACCCGTAGTATATGATAGAGACTCCTAAATCTGACGGTAAATTGTTGTAAATTGAGACTGAAATAGATGAACGGAAAAGGAAAATACAGGTGAGACACTTAAAGCAGTCTCTCTCCCAAGCCCAGCCTAACTGAATTCCAGCCTACTTTTCCTTCTCTCCTCTCCCCTCTTATACTATTATAATTATCCTTAAGAGCCGGCCCATACAATAACATACTATTTAATATTATTCTATTATACTTATGTTATCGACTGTCCAAGTCCCTATCAATATATTGGGCAGGGTAGGTCGGGGTGGCATGGGTCATTAATAATACCCGGACCCGCCACATTGTGTGCACAGGGCAGGTCGAACCCACTCCATTTGAATGATGAGACGGGCACCGGGTGGACCCGTCCCAAATGTCTTGGGACAGGATGGGTCCTTGAGGGTCGGATTTTTCTGCCATGTCTATGCTAAACATCGTAAGTCGAAACGAGAATATCATAAGTACTGGTTGTTTTAATATACGTACATTGACATTATGAGCCCATTAGGTAAGCCCTATTTACATATTTTCAGTCTTATCAGCCAACTTCTTTACCAAATACGTAACTTTTGATTTCACGTGTTGAATTTGTAAAAATCAAAATAAGCATGTTGGGGTTACTTTTGTGGCTGAATCGGATAAACATTATTGAAAATGACTGTTTCAGCTATTTTTCTTATGTTTTTCTATATTTTAAGAATAAATATGTTTTAAATACCCGAGTATATTATTTTCACACTTCAGTAGAATTAGCCAATTCAGTCGATTTAGCCAATTTCAGTGTTACCAAATGGGATCTATATCTAAATACATCACTGGTATTAGTTCATCCAACTTATGACAGTGCAGAACATCAAGTTGGGAATAAAAGTATTGTCTAAAACTGCTAATGTATTGTTTAAAACGTATATCCACACTCAAGAATGATCAGGGGAAATAAAAAAAGACTATGAGGGTTTATACTTTTGAAAAAGAGAGTAAAAACTTAGATGAAATGTCTATTACATCTAGGTTTAAAATATGTTAAATATTTCTGGCAGGAAACTATAAGAACATGGTAAGCTCGAAAGAAAATGCACAAAAGCAAGCTTATTTGGGGGAAAGTAATACAAAAAGACCTCACCGCACTTAATTGTAGTTCAAGCTCATTAAGTTTGGACTTCATCGTCTCCTTTAAAGATTCCAGCTCGCTCACATCCTTCTTGGCTTTAGTCTCTAAGGGCTTCTTTTCCACCAATCTCATTCCATTTTCTTGTTTTAACTCTATATTCTCAGTGAGCTGAAAAAACATATTAAGGAAGAATGATCTAGAAGGATACTGACAAGTGAAAACTCAATGACATATGTCAGTATGTGACATATGGACGGTTGCACTTTCTGAATCATAAAAATCACTTACTTCAGGAAATGTACTGACTTTCACACTGCCAGAAACGTCATCGGCTAGAAGATTTTGTGGTGGATGACTGTGCACTTCATTCACTGGTAAATGTACTGGTGAGTTGGATGGACTGACAAGGACCACCCTGAGCTTGTTTTCTTGGACATATTTCCCACCATCTTTGGAAAACTAGGGAAGAGAGAATTTAAAACTAAGAATGCATCCATCAACACTGGTTGACATCAGATTATCATTAAATATAAATACTGATAAATATGGGACATTTACCATCTCTGAGACGACGTCCTCTTCAGAAGTCTCCTCAGGTACCACTGTGGCTTGAACTAAGAACTTGTCTTTGCATATCATATCAAGAGGCGGTTCCCGTTGTGCTTGCATAGTTACTTCTCATGTACATATTTGAGAAATACCAAATATATTAATGCAATACAAACGTATAAACATGAATTAATCATTAATCACTGAATGTTTGCGAACTGACATTTGACTCATTCTACTTCCCACTTGCAGAAATTTTAGTAATCCAACAATAACGGATGTGTCAGACTTTCTCAAAATAGTTTTAGCAGCATAGCTACGCAATTACAGAATGAGATGATCAAATCACGTATAGACGGTATAGTACAAATAGACGTGAATCTTTCTCAACATCGCCTTTTTAAACTATGTTAGGCCATTGAGATAAGTGCTGGTTGCTACAATAATGAACAACAGGATCCACTTTTCAAAATTAGCATGAATATCAGAAAACATGGCCAGAAAATGACATTATTATCAAACCAAAATCTTAACTATGCAATATTAAGCATGTGCCTGGTACTTCTTTATAATAAGCTTTAGCAGGGAAGTTAAGCAAGATGATAAATATAGAGAATCAAGCCCAAAAGTGCTTGAGTAAAGGTGGTAAATTTTGATGAAATAGGACACTTTTACATTGGTACAGTAACAATCTTCAGATAGGTATCAGTAATATCGCTAGTTGAGTTGACACTTGACACACCTCCTATACATAGGGTTAAGCAAAAGAGTAAGTAATATTTTTTCTTTTTACCCATCTACAAGGTTCAATGTGTTCAGTTTAAGATTTCTCCATATTAATGCACGGTGCGAACAATAAATTCTAAAGTAATATGTTCTTCTATGTTCTTTGGTGAAGTCTTCATGTTCTAAGATCATCCTAACAACACTCTTCTACTTTCGCTAAGATATCTGCTTCTCCGGATATCATGCATTTTAGTTCACATTCATGTCCCTGGAAATGTCATGTGCACCCCTTAGGCATGTCCAGTACGTTTCCTCATCGTGTCCTCAAAGTGTCACCACACATACAACACATCGTCAGCCGTATCCTTGCTTCCTAGTCAATGACTACAAATTTAACCTTGTTACTGTGCCTTGAGGTGAATTTTGGTGCAATGGAGGGAAGGGGATCGTGAAGGACTTTAACATTACCTTGTTTGGTAAGATTTGGAGGGAAGGGGATCTAATGATTGGTTTAGAAGAGGGAAGTGATAATTGATAGGACACATTTGATGTGATGTGATATTTCTCTCTCCATCACACCAACTACTTCCTCTCTATGTTTTCTCACTTATCACATCACATAACATCAAATGCGTCCTACCAATTAAGTATCAGATTTTATGTTTTCTCTCTCAATTTAGCTACTATGAACTTTATATTGGGACGAAGAAAGTAGTAGTGTAGTACATGGACCACCTTAGCCTTAACTTATATGCAATAATAGATGACTGGTTTTAATAGAAATGGTTATATTTATACAGATCGCAAATTTGCAATATGTTTATATACAAACACATTTGCTATATGAGATATTTTATTAATATTAATAACAGATGCAACTATATTATTTCAAAACCAGATAATACAATGTAGTTATAATTTTTCAAAGCAAACAATACAAATTATTTAAATAAGATTACAGATGCATATGTAATATTGAATAATTGGATATACTTTTTTTAAATTAATAAAATAATCAATAGAAACATGTCAAATGCAAAAGAGAGGTTTTTGTAGCAGCATAACAACCAAAATAACCATATATTTTCATAATAGAAAAGTTGGTTCCGCTAAGATAAAAGAAATACTTTGACTGTCCTCAATTTTAAGGGGAGCTTTAGTGGAGAGGAACTTTTGGATTAGATTTTCCTCTCCTCTTGCATATTGTGTTTAACCAGACAACAGAAGGGATGCAAAGCAGCTCCCCTTCCCTCAAACCAAACGGAGCAATACGCGAATGCACAATTACTTGTCTAAACATGTAAACCACCTCTCCACATTTAGAAAACATAATCATTGCATATCCAACCAAAGCGATCATTTGGATGTTTTTTACTCTAAGGGACTATTGATATAGCTTAAATAGTTTTTGTTAATTTACCATAAAACAACAACAAATGTAAGCAACTGAGAACTCGCATAGCAATATGGATGAACCACATGCACAGCTATCGTTTACCGGATACAGAGTATTGTTTGGTTTCCACCTACTATGCAAATAAAGACAACAGTCACAGAGATAAGAGGAACTTCATATATCCCAGAACAGTAGTGCACACAGTGATCACAATACTTGAATCACTGTAGCGTTTCGTGCAAATCATCTTTCTATGTTGTTTAATTTCCTTTCTTCTTCTTCAACTCATAATCACAGCAGCATCCTCATTTCAAAACTAAATGCAGTACTTGCTATATTTCTTGTTAAAGAAATATTACCTAATGTTTCATACTCCCTCCGTATTTAAAAGTTTCCTACACTTTCCTTTTTGGGATGTATTTAAAAGTTTCCTACACTTCCATTTTTGGTAATTTTATCCTTTATAAAATACTCAACTACCCTTATTTTATCTACTTTTTATCTTCTCTTTCATACTTTTACACACTCTCTCCTACTTTTTCTACACTATTCACTACTCTTACTATTCTATCCTAAAATATTGTGCCAAAAGCAAATGTAGGGAACATATAAATACAGAGGGAGTATCACTTTGAAGGCATTTCTATAATATTTATTAGAAACAATATTCATATATTAACTGATATGGTATCGTGGGATTCCGCCAATAGCTTCCAAAGTTTCAATACTTTTTTAACTCTATGTACAAAATCCAGTTAACATTTTAAATGAATTCATACAACAAGAACAATATTATAAGTGGAAGTTTCAATGAAATTACTTGTGACATCACGTGATGCTTTAGGACTAAAGACTCCCACATTTGGTCGGACAGAATATTTCTTTGGGTTTGTAGTCTTGACCTGTCAAAGTATCAACAGAAAAATTCATAAAAACAAGCTTAAAATGGAAATCTTCTTACTTAATCCAATGCTAGAAGAAAAAATACTAGTTACCTTAAAAGCAACATGCTTGTCTGACTTATTGGCGAGATGGATAGAGCATGAACTTTGCTTCCTTGGTTCAACTACAGAAAGATAGAGCCAAATGTCAATTCACATTGTCGTATTTTTGGCAAAACTAAGAACTAATGAAGGAACAGTAGGGGTTCATTTAGAAGAGTATAGAAAAATGTAAATTATTTTATATGTGAATGTGTACAGAGTATCCATTAACAATTCAACACAGCCACTACTTGCACGATTTAACTTAAACTAACAAACTAATAGTCATATGAATAAAATATTCTTTTAGACTGCAAACCTTCACTAGCTAGATAATTATTCTTTTTAACCACACAAACTCTTACACTGCAAACCTTCACATCCATGATGGTGCCATACATGTGTCTGGGCAAGGATAAATAAATCATTTAATAATAGACAGGATTCAAATCTTACATATGAATTTGACGTCCTGAGGTGTAATATCCACCAGATCAAAACTCATGGCTCTTTTACAGGTTTAACATCCAGTGGAACTAGTATAATCAACTGCCCAATACCTCCTAACTGCAAAGTAACCCAAAATATTCTTTTAAAATGAAAACCATAACCAGGAGTCATTGAAATAAAAGGAAAGATCAAAAATTCAAAATAGCAGCAGCATTCACTCAGAGATAGTTGTATTGCACAGATTAGGTCATCAGTATTCAACCCCATTTATGGAATCAAAGGGAAGGTGACAAACAAAAATCACTTGGAGTTCTACTTAATGTATGGATCCATCATCACTTCAGGCACTACCTTATTAATGTATGATCATTTAGACCTTATACTCCTATTAACCAAATACATCATAGACGCGGCATGCATGTAAAATAAACCCGATAGCAAAAGTACAATCCTGAGATACCATATATCAGGAAATGACATACACCAAAGTACGGTTACAAAAATGAAATGAAACAATTTCAAGTAAGATTCAAAAACAGATGGTTGTTCTTAATCTTGAGAACCTCGATCAAAGACGGCGTGCTCGAGAAATGGAGAGTGAGTGATAGGCTAACAAGAACCGGAATCAATTCCGACTGCCGAATGTGGAAGAATCGGATATGGAGAACTGGATTCCATGCATTTGTTATTCAAAAGAGCGGTGAAATTTATCAATGGCTCGCTGCTCGTGGAATAATTTCTTCATCGAGAGTAAAGTTGTAAAAGTAGAATCGCCGTCGCTTTCAGCACAAAAGTTCCTATCTACGAACCATTAATTAAACCCAAAGATCTGTGTATTGTGGAGATCAGTAAACCCAAAGCTCGAAGAGAAGGATGTGAGCTGCTTTAGACTAATGATGATATTCCATGTAATCATGTACTCCTTATAGAATAATATTCCAGCTAAATATAGCCACATGAATATCAGCAAATAAGTTATTTCTTTCCTTATTTAAATTACTTTATACTACGTATAATTTTGGTAAGCTTTTCTTTGCAATGTCAATCACAATGTCAACATCTAGATGGTTTTCTTGACATTGTGGGGGAAAACTTACAAAAATTGTATAAAATCATTCAAATAAGGAGAAAGATAATTTATTTGTTACTACCTCCGTCCCTTTTTATTTAGCCATCTTTGACTTTTCCAGTCAAAGGTGTTTAAGTTTGATCCATTATTTTAATTAACATATTTATGTAAAACATAAAATATTTATACTTTTATGATAGTATTTTCAATAAAGAACATTTTCATATAATTTTCATATTATCAATATTATCGTGTATAAATATATAATCGGTCAAAGTTGAACAATTTTGACTTGAAAAAAGGTGTTTGGCTAAATAAAAAGGGACGGAGGGAGTAATATTTATGTGACTATCTCTCATGACACATGTGCACCGTGCACATTGTAGCATTGAAGATGCTCTAAGAAACAAGTTCTCGGGTTGACTTTCACACATCTAAAGGAAATAAAGTTACTGTTTCGACACTGTTTGACACTGTTTTGGTGTAGATAGTTTACCAAATAAGGAAATGAGAAGTTTATTTTGGGACATCCAAATAAAGAAAGTGAGAACTTGTTTTCGGGAGGAAAGGAGTACAAAAGTATAGACTAATGATGATTTCTTAATGGCTAAAGCAATCTTTCCAAGTTTAAAAGTGGAGGAACACGGTGTTAAAGTGAGTTTAAATGTTTAATTGACCGAATAAGTTGAAACATGTCTCAATTATAAATAAAATTTGAATAGAAAAAGCTAAAATTGACTTCTACACCAATTTCAATATAAATCTAATTGTACAAGTAACATACGGAGTATATATTTTGATTTTTATAGAATTTATCATATTAAGTAAAAATAATACTTCATATGTCCCACTAACAATGGAACAAGAGGGAGTGACACACAAATCTATAAAAATTGGTTTATGTGGATGATATTGAATTGATAAAGTAAGAATGATTTAGAGTCATACAAACTTAACCAAATAAGGTATATGACAATTTTAGTGGCACAAACCGGAATGGTAAAATGAGAATATTTTAATTGGACGGGCCGACAGGGTAGTAATATTCATATAAAATAGTTCATAGGTCTTTCATAGAAAATAGTTCATAAGACAGAAATATGTTCCCGAATGAATTCTCAGTAGAATAAAATCTGATCTTTCTTTTTGCATAATCCGATGAATATGAGCAATTCAACCTCTAGATTATATTTATTTCCTGATGAACTATTCGAGATTATATTATTAGTTTTTGTATTAGACCTATCCTTAGATTTGGTTCAGCCCATACCAATGTCCAAATCCATGAGGTCTTTCCTATATATAGTGTTGTCACATACATAAATGGATTCCATTCATTCATGATCTTATACACATTACATGTTTCCTCTAACTCTTCTCTCTATCTTATACACATTACATATTAGACTTGTATATTTTACGGAGTAATACAATACACACCAGAATTATACATTATTAATTCAAGGTGGATTTCAAGATGGATTTACGTCACCTTATCTTAGCATAAAAGTTGTCACGCACATTATATTGATTTCAATAATAATTTCATAGTGAGTGTAAACACCTTCGGGTTTTGAACTTTTGATCGATTCTGATTGAGCTGAGTCCTCGGGGTGTACCCATTGTGGGGGCAGCTGCCCCCTCATCCCCAATCCAGCCCTTGTGTGTAGGGGAAAGTTGAAATAAAAAGAATCTTACATAAACTAAGTGCTCCGTATTAATTTCACCTATCCAAATTGTCAATCTGGTGCACAATAACATTTATCTAGTTAATGTATTTTTCGAATAAACTTTATCTGTGTACTTTTCCAACACCTAGACACGCGGACATTTTCGTGAATATTGAAAAGGTGTACCAAATAAACTTTATTGTGCATCGGATTGACTCTTTGAATGGCTAGAATTAATTCTTGTTTTACAGGTTATCATTTTTTTATTTGATCCAAAAAAAAATAGTGGGAAGTTGCACTTTAGTATTTCAAATGTTACCAATATTGAAATGTAATTCTCGTGTCTTCGGGTTTGTAAATGTCACTCCTTAACTGTCCAAATAGTTGTAAATATGATTCTTTGAGGGGTGCAATGTTCAATGTGGGCGAGGACCACATTTACACAAATCTAAACAATTAAGAAGTTACATTTACACATTTGGAAACATGGTGATTACATTTCAATATCAGTACTATTTGAGGGACTAAAAGTAGACATGACAATGAATCAGGTCGGGACGGGTACTAGAAGAACCGGACCTGCCCCGATGACTTTACTAGGTGGACCCGCGCCCTCCCTGTGACCCACACGAGTCAATACTTGTTGGTCCATGACTCGCCCCATGCGGGCCCCGTTGTAACCTAATTAGCTACTATGCATTTCTATTTGCGTGAAGTCGTAACACTTGAATTCACATAAACTTATCTCTAAGTAATTATTAAAAATTAATATATTAAATCAAAGTCACAATACGCTAACAATTTCAAAAATTATGAAAAAGTACCTAGACTTGATTAGCTAATCTATTTATTATACTAATAAGTGAATATGTAAAATGTTCAATATAAAAAAGACATTGACAATTCGGCGTTTATCTCATTCAAATATAAATATACGTAGTAATATATTATAAGACCAAAGAATTTATGATTTTTTTTTGGAAAGAAACTACTTATATTAAGATCAAAACAGTCGCAATAACACCCCAAGCCACGGGATCTAAACTTCCCACTATCCAACCCATTCGAAAAGCACTTCGGCCTCCTCACGTCATGATCAGACATAGAATAGTCCACTCCGAGAAGAGCGAGACTATTCGCTGAAACAGTGAGAGCATAGAGGCTATTAGCGACTGAATCAACCTGATTGCCTCCAACAATTTTCCTACCAACAAGCAACACACATACCCCCCCCCCCCATTGTGCAGAACAAAAACAACAAGCAAATTTAGTTTGAAATAAAAAATGCAATAGAAATAAAACTGCAGTTGATAAATTCTCTGGTTTCCGTCCTTACTGGATCCTCCTGCCTACTATTCAATTGTGTTTTAGGCGAGCATTGTAGCCCGCCTCCTCCCCGTTTTTTGTGAGTCCCCTCTCTATCTTCATACCCGCTTGCAGAGAGCCTTCCTCTCCTTGGTCAACCCTCATACGCTTCTGCTCAATCTTCTCTCCTGTAGCATGATATTCGTTCCATGGAGCTCCATGGACATCCACACCTTCCCTCCCTTTTCCTTTACCCACCGAAACTAACCACTTATTCCCGCTCGATAGTACTCTCCCCTTTGAAGCTCTCAGTTCCATTCCAAACGGCAGATCTTCCTCCTTCCCCACCCCATTGGGGTAGCGCAAGCAATACCTTTCTACGTGCCCAATAAAACCACATGCAAAACAGAAACTAGGGAGTTTCTCATATTTAAAACTGACACAAAAAATTTCCTTTCATCAGTATGAAAAAATAGCTTCTGTTTCAGGGGCCTGGTCAGATCGATACTAACTCTTATCCTCATGAATGGGTTCCACTTATTTGAAAAAATATATTCATCCACTTTAATGTATTTCCCCACAAAATTACCAATTTTTATTGCATTGTTCATAGAAAAAAGCCAACCCGAACATCATGAATCTCCAACCAGAAATCAGCCCTATTTAAGGGTACCTCTAACGATAAATCCACTTGCCTAAACCTGTTCAAGGGTACCTCTAACGGTACCAATTTATGATTTATTAAAGGAAAAATTGATAGTAATAATCTCAATTATTGGCGGTCCGCTCATAATAATCCCAACTATTGATTATTCCAGAATAATCCCAATTTTAGAGACCTTCCGCCAATAATGGTCCCTATAGATAAATTCTTGTAGTTTCTAAAGTGGATGAGATGATATATAGCAAGTAATCCCTATAAATAATTCCAACTTTTTAATTTTTACGCTTAATTTCTATTTAAAATTCACTTGCTATAGGACTATAGGAGGTAATATCTGGTCATGGACCATTATTTGTGGACGGTCTATATAGTTGAGATTATTAAAAAATAATCAATAGTTAGGATTATTTTCAGCGGACCGGCAATAGTTGGGATTATTAAATACATACGGAGTACATATGTAATATACGAAGTATGTATATTTGTAGTATATATTTTTTTAAAATTATAGTCCGTATATACTTAATTATATATTGAGCGGGGCGGGACGACACGTGTCAATATTAATATCCAGACCCACGCCATTGTGTTGGTGGAACGGGCAGACCCGTCTCATTTTTTAGGATGGGTGGGGCGGACCCGCCTGCCGGGGCGGGTCATTCGTCGAGGTTTTTTTACATTGCCTAACTAAGAGGCCATTTGGTAATACTGTTTTTCGGCTTATCAGGCTTATTAGTCAACTTTTTCACCAAACACGTAACTTTTGCTCACGCGCTGAATTGTGTAATAATAAGAAAAAGTAAGGTTGCAGTTACTTTTCTGGCTGTATTGGCTGAAGTTGCTTTAGATGACCATTTTAGCTATCTTTATGTATAATGTTTTCTTTATTTCATTAATAAAATATATTATAAAAATGTATTTTTCATAAATCAGCAATGAAGCAACCTCCCCATATTTTGGAAAATACTAGTTAATTTTGTCCTGTTATATCCTTCCTTGGCCAACATGCGTTCCTGCCTTCCTGGAGTGCCATCACTGTTTCTGAGAATTACCCGCCAGTCCGCCTCTGCATCTTAATCAGGCAAATCTAACTTTGTTCGTGCATGCATGTTTGTTGAACCATAAACTATCCAAACCGTCTTTCTCTCAT